TTAAACTGTCAAATCTTTCCCACTGCGGACCCCCGCTCGCTGCACCGCTGACCGTGCGACCAGAGTGTCGTGGTACGCGCGCCGCTGCGAAGATTTCTATGACAGCTGCCAACGGGCGGAGAGAGACAGAGAGAGAAAATAGCCGCGCGGCTGTGCCGGCAGTGACCCCGAGATTAGGGCGACGAGGTGCAGGCGTTGCCACAATAAACGCGCCACGCGCTCCCCGTGTTTATCTCTTCACTTAATCCCGACTCGGGGTCACAGGCAGGAGCAGGTGGATGCACGGACACCCATCCGCTTGCACAGCACGAAAAACACCACCTATCTACGACCGAAGAGAACATTTAAATGTCACAACATCGCCCAATAAGCCGGTGGACTAAAATATATTTTGTGTGTGTGTGTGTGCGGAGACCCAGAACGCAGTTCTGCCTGTGTATGCATTTACAGCTCTTACAGGGTGTTTGAAAAAGATGGACCTGATTTGAAATCGCTATATCTCTACAACCACGAACCGCCCATGAATGAAACTCTTACCACTTGAAAGGGCGGGGCACAGAGTTTCAAATGATTACCGCGAGACGCCTCTCCCAGCACACAAACAGCCCCTAGCCTCAGTCGTTCGCAAGACGGTGACCTCGCAACACAAGGGGCGTTTTGCGTTTTGCAGCTCAGCAAGACTGAATCCGTAATTGACGTGCGTTTCAACGGCGTTTTGGCATTGATCCGCCAATGTCAAAGAGCATTCATCGTTGGTACCGACAACTTGAGGAAACAGGCTGTTGATGTAAGGGGAAGAGCACAGGGCGACCACGCACCTCAGAGGAAAACGTGAGAAGAGAGGCGTTTGGGACGAATTCAACTATCGTCTCGATGTTGTCCGTACAGCAGGTGGAGGGCACATAGAGAATTTATAAAATGGTTAGTAAAACATTATAACTTATTAAACCGTTTGTAAGTTTTTGTGTAATTGTAACATGTTGCCATCGTGAAATATACTGCTTTGAAATTGGGTCCATCATTTTAAAAACAACCTGTATAATGCTTCACAACAAACTCGTGACGTGTTTGTATACGATATTACTTTTTTCTTGCATTGAACAGGGCCCCAGAGTTGATATCCAGCGCTCTCGCCAATAACGTCTGAAAACCCAGAAGCATTTGTTCAACGAGACTGCACGATTCTGCTGATGAGAACCAAAATATTTAAAGTTGTCCAGAATTGGCTTGCTTGAACAATTGTTTCTGGATAATATTGGTTTAAAAAGCCAATAGGCCGATAGACTAAAACATATACACATTTGTAAATATTTATTTTGACAGTATTGCATGCACACGTAGACCTCTTATTGTTTCAACTACAGCAGGATCATAGAAATCACCAGCCTGAAATTTCCCAACATCACAACAGGCTCAAGTATGGACAAATATCCCCCGTACAGCCTTAACAGGCTGTTGGGGCAAGTGCTGTTAGTGATCGCCTATGAAGGCCGGCACGGGACAAGAAGGGGGTGGGTGGCCAGCACCACGCCCGCCCACCTTTGTCTCCCTAGTGGCGATGTTAACACACTGCACCAGGTACTCATTTGAGGCCGAGTCGACCTAGGGGATACCCAGGACCGGTTCAGATAATCGTCAACTGGTGTTGGCCGTGAGCGGGAATCAAACTCGGCTCGCCGGGTTCGTAGCGCAGTGCGCTAACCGCGACACTACCGCTCCCCATAGGCGCACGGACACACACGACTCTCCTTCTTCCTTGCAGGTCGTATGAAGGCCCCTGAATTTGTGGGCTACACGCAGGAGAGTTCCCCATCTATTTCTGTCGCAGGCGAGCTGCTGGTATTGCATCCATGTCACCACCGCTCCTCTCCTTTCAAATGCCAACCGAACGACGGCTTATATAATAGTAGTGGCAACTTGCAACGTGCACAGTATTCGCTCACTCTTGAACCGAGGGAACGACTCAGGGGAGGAGGAGGAGGAGGGGCCACATGCGAGCATGAAGGCAGGCACGCCAGTGGGCTGCCACCAACAATTGTCAAACGCTCTGCAGTCCTCTATATATCAAGGTGTTTTTGGCCGACACCTTCAGTGCTCCTCTTCAGTCGACGCCGTCTGTCTCTGTTGCCTTGGTGTTATCATTGCTTTTGCTAGAAGGCTCTTTTAGATGGCCTTGCTTCTTGTAACCTCCCGATACCACAGCACCGGTGGTCTCTGTTCTTCAGTGCTTCGTATAATAGCGCATTCCGTTTTCCAATTCCTCCCTGAGGAATTAATTCCTCATTCCACACAATGGCGTTGCCGGCAAATACAAATCTTAAAATCCACACTCCCGTGGCACCGTCGCTCGCTTGAGTTGCGTGCAAATGCGTGCAAGACAATGCAATTGCTATTATGGAACAATCAACATGCATGAACGTTAAACTTCTTTCGCACCGTATGTAGCCAACAGTATTAATCGGAGATGAGGGGGAATGACAACAAACTAACACACAAAATGCAGTTCTCAAGAAATGCGTTTTCAATTTAGACGATTTAAAAGTGCATAGCTCCAGTGGCTTCCTAATGTTGGAAGGAAGAGCGTTCCAGACGGCCACAGAAACGCATCTGTCTTGATCGATGGCCAGCCAAAAGCTGCCGTTTCGAGGACGACCCGAGTTTACGTGATGGTTTATGATCTTTGACGAGATCAGCGAGGCAATTCACGTGTCCACAAAATAGCACAAGGTTAAGGCAACGATAAATAGAACATCAAATAAAACCAGGCACCAATGAACACGTCAAAAAAAAACTGTTTCGCCTTCACCATCAGTAGCAGCAGGAGCAGCAGCAGCCATGATCGATCCACTGCTGAGTGAAACCCTCACCACGCCATTGCCATCTCTCGCAGGTCCGCGATGGCAAGAAGAATTCACGCGCACGCGAACCAACTTTGTCGTTTTTAATTAACCACAGCGCGTATGAGAAACGTGAATTACAAAACAGACTTTAAATGGCACGGAAATATCAGACGTGTTAGAGATTCAGTTACCTGTTAAGGTGATGGATATTTGATTGGTATTTAGATGTATATTTATTCTTCATTTATCACGCTATTGTTAGTAATGTTTTGTAAAGGTCTTTGTACCGCAATTTGTCACGGAGTGTCTATTTTTACAACCGCGATGGCTGCTGGTGCATAGTAGTAGTAGTACATGGACCTCTGCCGGCTCGTATCTCCACAAATAAATAAAATGTTCGTTTTGCGAATCAGCCAAGGAGCTGTTACGGTCAATATTATCCAGCAGAAGCACGTGTTTTAACAGAAACAGCGCTGCACCAGTTTCGACCTGGGTCTCATCAGCACACCCAGGCTTGCTAAACAAACACTGCTGGGACGTCAGCTAGTATTGACCCCCTCCCCATTTCCCGTGCCCAGCTCATTGTGGAAAAACAGCAAATGTGATATAATATGTTTATAAACTCATTATACAGAGGTTGTTTTTGTCTATAATCTTTCCTGTAGAATCCACTGCTGTATGAGGGCACCACACCCCACGCACCCCAAGCACGTGTGGGTCGTGCGGACTCTTTGACCATACTTCACCACGCTGATCAGCGCCGTTTGGTGAAGCCTGAGAGCATAGACGGGGCGGGGGGGGGTATATAAGTACGGACAACAGCGGATGTGGCTACACTGCTGCCCATAGCGTATACCCCACTTGCCCTATGACAAGCTGTGTGTAAAACGAAGCTATCTTTTTATTTGACCAGGTGAGGCCCACTGGGCTACACAGCTCTTTTTCAGAAGCGATCTGGCCATCACAAATGATAGCTCAACGAAGTGGGCTTGTCACGTGGAGATGTACAGCAGTCGAAATACGCTAAGGGCGGGTTGTTGATTCTAAATGCGGAGGGAAACACCGGAGGACCCGGAGAATAAGCAGAGGCGCATCTGAGAGTGCGCCATGCGGTGAACTTGTTGGTAAGTGCAATGTGCCGACCATCATCACCGCCACAGCAGCAGCAGCATAATCCCGTATTAAAATTATACACGCAGAAATCACTGCTCATCAATTACAACCCTAATGATCATCACCAAGCATTGTCAATAATAATATTGGAAAATAATCTCACCTGCAGGGTCGCTTGCCTATAAATCTGACAGTTCACCACCAGAATTGGAATACAATAAAGCAAGCCTGACTCTGCTTGATGAGGCAATGAAAATCGAACAAAATAGAACCAATGCTGATGAAATCAGGCACTCAGAGGAGTGCGTTTGGCAGATGAGATGTGCAATGATTATTTTTTGGATGTGAATGGACGGCTCTGGAGAGGAAGGCATGAGTGTTGTCTGCTAATGGACTCATGGCACACAAAGTGCTCGCCACACATGAAGCACAATACCCTTGTTGATCTCGAGCAGCATAAAGCATCGCGAAAACTCAGATCATCCTCGTAGCAGCGGCGGCTCTTGGCTCAGCACCGAACAAAGGCGGTGGTCACCGCAGCGCGTGGCGCTTTCAGATGCACTTCTGCGGCCGTCTGCAACGCTCTTCCTCCCGATATGACAACAGCTTTTTGTGTTTAGTTCGTCGTCCTTGACCCCCCCCCCCCGCACCTCCGATTAGCACGGGGTCGGCGGCTACGTACGGTGCGAAAGAAGCTCCACGTACACACGCACACAGTAGTATCGTCAATTCAGGCCACCTATCGACTATATCCGATTGCAGACCACGTGTAGCGAAGGGTACAGGAGCGTGCGGCCCCGTGCCTGGCTCTTGTCGACACACGGGGTGGGAGCAGGGGAGGCGGGAGGAGGCGGGGTGCGGCTTTGTCGCTCCGCCTCACGGTGGAGTGGGGTGGTGGTGGTGGTGGGGGGGTAGCCACTACGGGGGGAACCCTCGTCGCGCATCGTGACGCATGGAACAGCAGGCTCGGGTCTCCCCCCCCACCCCCCAATCCTCTCCATAAATAGCTGCCCGCGCACTTGCGGCGACTCACACAGCATCATTCAGCTCACGGGCACCGGGGAAGCTCATCCTGCTTGGCCGTTCTACACGGACTCAGCCAGCCAGCCACATAAGCAGGGATCGTCAGTGAAGTCGAGAGACAGGCGGCTTGGTCAGACAGCCGGTCAGATAAACAACTTGTCAGACAGCCGGTCAAGTAGACGAACTGGTCAGACAGCCGGTCAGATAAACAACTGGTCAGACAGCCTGTCGATCAGCCGGTCAGACAGCCAGCCACGCGATCAGCCAGCTACTTAGACAGACAGGCAACCGGTCAGACAGACAGCCAGTCAGCGGACGTCTCATCCATCCCCACGGTGTTCTTACCACGTGTGCATGCGTGCTGCTGCTGCTGCTGGTGGCTGCTGATCGTGGCTCGCGCGACGGCGAAACTCATCGTCTGCAAGGTCGTCTACGTCAGCTCGCCTCCTACGTCAGCAGGTACGTGCAGAGCGCTTCTCTCGGGCTATGCACGTCGAGGGACACGGGGTCTGGGTCGGCTAGAGCAGTGGCGAATGTACCCCCGGCCACACGAGTTGGATTCCCGGCAACGGTTAACATCACGTAGGGGATTGACTTCTGACATGGGTCCTGGGTATCCCACCCTGCACCAACCCTGCACTTGACCGGTGTGGTGATGTGTGGAGCTAACAACGCCAATGGCACGGCGCGGGGAGGACTCCGTAGTACGTTTCTGTACGTGAGTGTTACATCATTTTACAAGACAAAGATCCCCCGTGCAGCCTTAACATACTTTTGGGGCAAGTGCTGTTAGCGAGCACCTATGAAAACGGGCACGGCACACGAAGCGGTGGGGGGCCGGCACCACGCCCGGCCGCCTTTGTCTCCCGAGTGGCGATGTTTACACATTGCACCAGCTACTCAATTGAGGCTGAGTCGACCTAGGAGAGGCCCAGAACCGGTTTAGATTATCGTGAGTGGGAATCGAACCCAGGTCACCAGGTTCGTAGCACAGCAGCGCGATAACCCCTGCACACAACCGCTCCCCCGTACATCATTGTACGAAGACACGCACACGCACGCGTGTTAGCTTCATTTCCAAGCACTGCTGCTCCTGACATAGACTGCGCCTTTGAGAGGCGAGGATTGCGCTGATGCTCAAGAGGCAGTCGTGTGATGGGCATCACAACAATGCGTGCGATGCACGCAGAGGGACGTGCCTGTACCAAAGCGTTACGTGTGACTTCGGCTTCGCGCACATCATAATTTCACCGACTTTTCAACTGCAGTATGATGATTTGATGTCTCTTATTCACACCGCAAGGCCATAACCGCCGCGTGTTAAATGTAGGCTAACAGGATACCAAATATAGCTCGCTTACTGAATGCTCAAATAGGCTGCGTTTGTAACGCTTAATGCAATGATATAAACTCAAGCTATCCCGTCATTATGCAAATGCATCATCAGATTTATACGTGCGAACAGCACACGAACTGCTCGTATGTGCAGCGATTGTGTTTTACGGTCAAACCCGCACCAGTAACCGCCTCCAGTCGGTAGAGAACAATGCGAACAGCACTAATTAGTAGGAAGCAGTTGCCACGATGCAGATATTGACACCCCGGGCCACACGATTGTGGAATGTCCGGCACGTGCGAAACAGCGATGTTATAATGTGTTCAATTTTTAATGAGTTTATTGTACATATGTATATTTGTATTCTTGGTTCTTTCAGTAAAGTTACGTAGAAGGGAAATAATAAAATAATATAAATATAAAACAATAATATTCTCACGACGTTTCGACTGCAACACAAGCAATCATCATCAGGTGTGAAAATCCACAGCAATTACATTTTTATACAATTTGATGATTGCTTGTGTTGCAGTCGAAACGTCGTGGGAATTTTTATTGTTTTATATTTATATCATTGTATTATTTCCCTTCTACGTGACTTTACCGAAAGAACCAAGAATATGAATCCCCGCAGTCACGAAAGTTTTAAATCACAAATGTATATTTGTGTTCCTTAGAAAGTGCATGCGAGTCTCTCTGCCTTTCTCTGTCAATCCGTGTGGGATAGTCCGGTGCAACATCTCGGCAGGGTTGGGGGAAGGGGGGTGGGTGGGAGAAGGCCCTTCCCCACTCCTTTGTGCGTCGTAGTGGGAGGGGAGGGGGGGTGGTGGTAATTTTTACCATCCCCGTTGTGGCCCCCACGCTGCTCAGTTGCGGCGGCTTGCGGCGGTCAGATAAACCCTCGGAGCGCCCCCGCCCGCAGCTCGCGTTACACACGGACGCACCGCACCAGCGCACGTGCGACACAGCGGGCTCTGGGTTTGTTTTTTTGACAGCAGCCGTCAACTCGGGACGCGGGATTCACGGCTCCCGGCACCGTTGACACGAGCCGTGCCGTGCTGTCTCACATTTAGTTTGTTATATATATCAAGTCAGGCACGAAACACGAAACCCGACGCCTGCCACGGGCTAAAGGGAACCAAACCCCTCGTGTTCCTTCCCGCCTGCCCGGGGCTCGGTGTGTCTCGCTAAGCCCCCCCCCCTCCTTCCTCCCCCTCCCCCCTCGTGGCAGTAGAGGAGGGCTGAACGATTAATCGATTTCAAATCGAAATCGCAATTTGAAACTATGCGATTAGCAAATCGCAAAGGTTGCGATTTTTTGCGATTTGAAAAGTCATGTTACTTTCTAGTTGGAATTGTTTTATTATTTATTATTATAACTTTATTTATTTTACTTAACAATTGTTCTATGTTTGATTGTTCTATTTAAATGACACCATTTTAATAAATACATGTTGGAAGCAATGAATATATTTTAAGTTCTCATCCTTGCATTAGAATATATACAGCAGTTCATATTTTGATGGTATCATGTGGTAATGCTCCACCACAAGTTTTAAATCTATTACACAGTGAATATTGAACTGAAGCTTGACTTTGAAAAATATTATCGTTAGCGCCCCCCCCACGACCCCGCGGTGCGCGGTTATTTTTGTGACGTCGTGGCGCATGTGCCAGCCGGGATCACGTGCTCTGCTGCCCGGGCTGTCGTATGCCCGCAATGTGCACGTGGTCGATGCCACTGCTGGATGAGGATCTGTCCCCAACGCCGCCGTGGGGGCTGGGGTTATTTGAGCGTATTTCACCACGCTCGTTCGTGCAAGAGATGGTGAAGACGTGGAACATAGATGCCGGAGCATACTACAGTACAATGCAACAGTGGTTGATGCACTGCCCTCTGCTGACGATGTTACACCGCAGTAGCCCACAACACCTTGATTTATGCATGCGAGTCGTCAATCGCGTGGTAACGACATTATCAGCTCAGAGGGTTACGGTAATTGGTCGAGTGGGGCCCCCAATACTGTAGGAAACGTATCTCACGATGGTTTGAATCTTTCGTGACTGCAGGAATCCATACTCTTTGGTTCTTTCGGTAAAGTCACGTGGGTATAAAATAAAATAAATCACGACGTTTCGGGCGCAACACAAGCGTCCTTCATCAGGTGGCAAAGCGTGGCCTGCTGCTGAGGCAGAATGTTCAGTAGCAGGCCACGCTTTCCCACCTGATGACGGACGCTTGTGTTACCCACGTGACTTTACCGAAAGAACCAACGAGAACATCTCACGGTGGCTGTCAAGGGGGCTCCAACTCGTAGCTTTGGCCACCAGGCGGGGGCAGCGGGGGGGGGGGGGGGCAAGGCACCCCACTGCCCCCATGCTCGGCACGCCACGGCTGGTGGGGCACCCTCGCCGCTCTCCAAGCTCCACCCAACTCTGCTTAGCTTCTGAGAGCTGACGAGAGGGGTAGGGGTCCCCTTCCGATGCGATTTGGTCAATGGGAAGTTGGGAATAACTTGGGTTGTGGCGGGAAGAAGGGTGGGGGGGTAGAGAGAAACGGATATATAAATGCGAGTAGCATTGCTGTATACCAAGATAGCAGGAATAGGAAAGAGGAGATTGAATAGTATAGGGGAAATATTTAAAAGCAACGATTGCGGAGGGCAGGATACAGAGAAAATATTTTATGATAGAACAGGATTATAATATACAAGAACGGATAGAATAAGTAGGAGATAATTTGATGTGAATCATAGGATTGACAGGTAATAAGATGTGATATAACATCATTAGACTTTTACAAAATGTGGTCAATTGCTGTATGGATAGAGTGGTGGTGGCATAGCGGTGAGGTGAGCGCACTGAGCCCCATGAACCCAGCAACCTGCCTGGGTTCCTCGCGTTGTGGTCTATGAACATGGGACGCAATACAAGGTCAACGAGCACGCGATGCGACGTGCAATCGGCTAGTCGCAGTCGCCGTAACAGAGTGACTGGGCATCGGGGAAACATCACGGGATGTTGCGGGCGAGAACAACAGGGCAACGCAGCGAATAGATATGATTAATTCTAGATTTGAAGCTTTCGTGACTGCAAGGATTCCTATTCTTTACCTACGTGACTTTACCGAAAAAACCTAAGAATATAGATAGGATTATCCATTTGTCTCACAATGATCAGAAATTTCACTCGGACTTAAAGGCTAAGCCGTGCGTACGGGCTTGCGTCATTGCACTCTTGAGCCGCCTGATATTTTGCGGGCACAATGCGCGCGCTGCGCGGAAACACGACGCCGGCCTGTGCTCCAACCTCGCGGGGATTTTTTACTTCTATAATTTCTTTTTAAACAAAAAACAATCTCGCGTCGTTCGTGAGCATTATAAGAAAACGGCGACGCACGCAGCCGCAGAGACGTTGACGTAATGGAACCTGATGTAATCTGACTTGGGTAATGAGCTCGTCCACAAGTGCAATTGGGTTTCTCCACTGGGGGTGGAGGTGGGGTGAGAGGCGCGCCGCGTGTTACGTGCGATGCCACCTTTGAATTAAAGTCAGGCGCTGCTGGCCAAGGAACGAGGGGCCGTTAAGGCTTCACAAACTTCCCCAGCGGGGGAGATTGTCGTCTGATGTTAATGTGTGGGGCACCGTGGGCTGCTATGACTGCCGGCTGTGAACAGTCCAGGGTGGTTTTGTCGGGCAGCGCAGCAGAACCTATTGGTTGAATTGGTTCAAGGTCACGAGCTTAAATGTACAAAGTCAGCTCAAGCCCCTTATCCTCGTCATCATCGTGGTGATCATCATCATCATCACCGGATATCAGCGTTTGTCATCGTCGTCTACTGTCATCAAAATCAGTGACATCCATCATCACACTTTTAATTATACTCGTCATTACATCTGCCGAACTTTGCACCTTTCATCGGCACCAGCAGCACCAGCAGTAACAACAACATCAGTGGCGGTGCAATCTGCAGCAGCATCAGCAACAACAGCAGCAGCACCATAATCAGTCTCGTCACCATCGGTCGGTGTCGTGACCGCTCGAACGTTGCGCTCCCCACCAGGATGACGCTCAACGTGGCCGAGCGCGCTCTGACGCCGAAGAGCGCCAGCGGCCCGCAGCTGCCCCTGCGCCACGCGGCCCCCACAGCCACCGCCCCCGGCGCCCGCCTCGACATGCCGCCGCGGCGGCTGCGCCCGGCGCAGGGCACCGGCATGCGGCCCCGGGCTCGACGCGCCGTCGCCGGAGGTGCCGGAGGAGTCGGAGCGCGAGCGCCAGCGGGCGCGGGCGGCGATAGCGGCGCCCAACGGCCCAGGTGGTCGACCGATTCGGCCGACTCGCTGCTGTCCAACTCATCGGGGGCGAGCGAGCGCAGCGCCAGCCCCGAGATCGCCGTGGCTCCGTGTCGCCTCGCCCGCCAGTTCCAGCCGCCGCCGCCGCCACCGCCGCATTCGCCCTCTTACAGGGCCATGCTGCTGGGCGAGCCGGGCGTCGGCAAGTCCACCCTGGCTCGCATCTTCGGTGGCGTCGAGGATGACTACGACGCCGATTTCGGTGAGCCTCAACCTCTTCTCGATTGCCCCTCCTCATCCCCATGACAAGCCCTCGCTCCTCCACTCCTTCCCATCCCATCCTCTACCCTGTAGTGATCCCTAAGTGCCCCTCTATCGCGGTCACTCATTGCTCAATCCTTGCAGCGCGCCCCTGCCATCCCAAATCATTCAATTCTGTGTCACCCGTCGTGTAAGCCGTGTCGTGCGCCTTGAGTGAAGGCGTTCGATATAAATGCAGCGTTTGATGAGATCAGAAGGGGACAGTGCTCGTGGCGTTCACGAAACGAGCACAGGCTTCATTCGCGCTCACGAAACGAGCGGACGTGCCGCTTGAGTGCGATGCCCCTCGGGGTTTGCGTGGGCTCGTTAACGCGTTCCTCGTCTCTCTCCCCCGCCAGCCGCGGAGGACTGCTACCAGCGCAGCGTGGTGGTGGACGGCGAGGAGACCACGCTCGCCCTGCTCGAGTTCTGTGGCCAGGTGAGAGAGAGGAGTGTTCGAGGCAGTGTCTTCATCCCCCGTGTAGCCTTAGCAGACTTGTGGGGCAAGTGCTGTTAGCGAGCACCTATGAAGGTCGCCACGGCACACGAGGGGGTGGGGGTGGTCAGCACCACGCCCGGTCGCCTTTGTCTCACCCAGTGGCGATGTTTACACAGCACGCCAGGTATTGATTTGAGACTGAGTCGACCCGAGGGAGACTCAGGATCGGTTCAGGTACAGTATTTGCATCGATGTTGGCCATGGGCAGGAATCAAACTCGGGTCATCAGGTTCACAGCGCTGTGCGTTAACCGCTAGGCCACCGTTTCGCACACGCGAAGACGGCGCTGCACGTGGACACTCACTCCCGGCCCCATTGCGCACGCCGCTCAACCCAACGCCACACATGTGGTACCATTTAGCGTCGCAGCGTTCCTATTTTTGGAGCGACGTTGTTGTTCTGGGTTTTTTTTTTCCACTGCACGTGTGTGTGTGTTTAAAACGGCCTATTATTCCGCTACAGGCACGGTTAAACGTAGTGATTTTTTGTCAACGGACGGCTGTGTGTGTGTGGTCGTTTCGCAAAAAAAAATCGACACTTTTGTGCGTCATTGCCCAAATGGCTGTTGTTACATCGCAACAGTGGGGTATTGTTTTTGCTTTCACAAGTCCTCTTGTTCTCATGAGAACGTGGCATTCATCTCTGTTGGTGGCCTTGAGCCGGCATTGGACATTCCAGAGTCGTATCCGTACGAAGACAACTGATAATTTTCCACAAAGTGGTGCTAATTTTATCTAACAGGGTACTCAATTGAGTTTTGTTTATCTATAAAGAGGGGTCAATTTCCAAAGCAATCAGGCTACTCCTCGACACAACATCAACGTCAGCACCAGCCTTGTGACGAAAATAAAATCATAGCGGGCTGAAGTTTCGGGCAAAAGGTTCTTGGTTCTTTCGGTAAAGTCACGTAGAAGGGAAATAATAAAATATCAATAAAACATAATAAAATAAAATTATCACGACGTTTCGGCCACAACGCAAGCAGCCGTCCTCAGGTGTCTGTTTCTTCACTTGTATTATATAAAAAATGTATTATTTTATTATTTCCCTTCTACATGACTTTACCGAAAGAACCAAGAATATGAATCCCTGCAGTCACGAAAGCTTTAAATCGAAACAAAAGGTTATTCTCAACATACCGTTGGAAATCACATCTCACACCGCAGGCCTGCGAAGTTGCAGACATTTGACAAATGCACAGGTTTTGATTTGACACCTGAGACGTTTTCCCACTGGAGTGCGCATCGAGTATCCAACAGACCGATAGAAAAAAAAGTGCCACTGCCCAAAACGTCAGCCTATTTATCATGACACGCACCGTGAGAGAGTGTCCATGATGACACTGGTGAACTTTTGTGGGTTTATTCCTCCCCACCACCGCGACAAAAAAAGAAACCTCGCAAATTGTCCATGCTATTGTTCCGTGGCCAAGCCAGCGGTGATGACGAGTCATGGCGAGACAGACGTTTTCAGCCAGCGCGTCTTCGGGTGTGCGGACGAGGGGTTTTTGTTGACGAAGCGTCACCTCCGCGTTTGTCTCGGTGTGGGGCGGCAGGCGGGCGAGGAGTGGCTGGACGAGGAGTTGGCCCGCGCCGGAGACGCCTACATCATCGTGTACTCCATCGCGGAGCGCGCGAGCTTCGAGCGCGCAGCCGAGATGCGCATCCAGGTGCGCAAGGCGCGGCAGGCGGACGACGTCCCCATAATCCTCGTGGGCAACAAGAGCGACCTCGTCCGCTCACGGGAGGTCAGCGTGGACGGTGAGGGCCGATACCCGCGACTGCCAAACGCACGCACGCACGCCCGCACTCGTGCCTGCTAACAAAGACAAAGATCCCCCGTATAGCCTTAGCAGAATGTTTGGGGCAATTGCTGTTAGCAAGTAGAACCGATGAAGGCTGGCACCGAGGGGGTGGGTGGCAAGCACCACGCCCGGCCACCTTTGTCTCCCCGGTGGTAATGTTTACGCATCGCACAGGGTATTCATTTGAGGCTGAGTCGACATAGGGGAGGCCCAAGAGAGATCGTCACTTGGTGTTGGTCGTGAGCTAGAATCCAACTCGGGTCGCCCGCTTCGTAGCGCAGCGAGGTAACCACTACACTACCGCTCCCCACACGCGCACATAGAGACAACGGTCCCCCCGTATAGCCTTGAACAGACTACATTGCACTAGAAGGAGTGTATGAAATCTACGTTTCTCAGACGGTGCCAATTGACAACCCCCATTAACCTCTCACGAAATGACACTCATGTTATTTGATACCAGTTTGATGGTTATCATCCTAGGCCAGTTGCAAGTTGAATGCCCTGACCGCAGCACCACCTGGGCAGATAATGTAATCCAGGTTTCCTCATTTTTTCGGATCGTAGATGCATTCCAAAAAGAGGGCGCACGAGACAGCTGCTTCCCGAGTAGCGCACAAAGTATACAAACAGTGTAGCCGCGTTCGAGTGAATTCAAACCGCGTATAGAAATTATTGGGTAGAAATCGGTGAACCGCATACACAGCGCGAAATTGCACAAAGCGACCCGCGCGTACAGCGAGGTAAGCCTCTCCACGGGGCAATCTCTCCCTGGCCGCTCACCGCCGCTCTCCCTCCGCAGAGGGCCGCGCGTGCGCCGCCGTCTTCGACTGCAAATTCATCGAGACGTCGGCAGCGCTGCAGCACAACGTGCGCGAGCTTTACCACGGCGTCGTGCGCCAGCTGCGCCTGCGGCGCCGGCGCGGCGACCTGGAGCGTGAGCGCTGGGACGAAGCCGGCCGCCTCCTCCACCCATCCGGCCTCGCCTCCTCGTCCTCCTGCACCTCCTCCGCCTCCGCCTCCGCCTCGTCGTCCTCCTCCTCGTCGTCGTCGTCGTCGGCGGAGTCCGCGCCGTCCTCGGCCGGCGCCGTCTCGTCCTCCGCCTGCCCGCGCCACCACCCCTCCTGCCACCACCACCGCTACGCGCGGCGCAAGGAGAGCCTCACGAAGCGCGCGTGGCGCATCCTCAGCCGCTTCATGGTGGCGCGCGGCGCCGGGAGGCTGGCCTTCCGCGTCAAGTCCAAGTCGTGCCACGACCTCTCCGTGCTGTGAGCGAGGCGGCGGTGGATGCGCCCGCCCGGCCTTTCCGGGCTGGAGGGCAGCTCGTCTGGACAATCGTAAACGCGGGGGAGGGTGCTGCGTAGGAAGCCACGAGGCTCGGTGGTCGGGGGGGGGAGAGTCTCGGTGCCCTCGCTTGAACTTGTGAACGGACAGACAAACCTCGCGCGGAAACCTCCTGCTTCGGCCACGGCCGCGTTACGAGATGCGCAGGCTTATTTCTCTCGCTCCCTCCCTTCATCCCTCACCCCCCCTCCCCCCTCCCCCCTCCCCATGCCTTCTGCCACACAAATATCCGTCTCTGCCATTGTTGTGACAGCGCAATGGATGAAAAACTACAAGAGTTTTTTTTAAATTTGATTCTGATCGGTGTCCCGAAGCACAGCCCGTTGGGTTTCGAGCGACCGCGTCGCGCTCACCTCAGCGTGCTGCGCCGTGGCAAAGGTACGGCGTCGCCTAACAAGTCGGGGGCAATTGATTCGCCTCGCTCATCAGCCAGGCACGTAAAACCATTACTGCATCAGGTATGCAATTTGGCTGTACGGCCCAGTTACATTTCAATTGCACCCAACGTGTGACAACGGACGGAATGTCGCAGCCTTTTTTGTAAACGCTCGGGTTGTTTGAGCCACGCGCGTGCACGGACTTGTGCAAGTTCAACCTCACCCCTCCTGCCGCAAAATTGACAATTTACGAGGATTTGCAGGCACTTCTCAGATCGCTCAACGTCACAGCTGAATCAGTCGAAGGGGCACCCCCGGCGGCAGCTGCCCCTGCGCGGCACAAAGCGACTCGGCAGTCGGCCTGCAGAACGGGCATCAGTCTGCCAGTGCCAGTCGGAGGGGCGGGGGCGATGTCTTGCTATGGATCATCACGACTGAGTCATTTGCGTGTCACTTTCAAATTTGGACACGCAATGGCCTACTCTCGCAAACGGGGTCAGGGGATCTCGAACGTTCACTGTGAAGCAGATGGCACTTAGTGCTGCTACGGTTGTTGCACACCGCAGCGATAACCAGGGCGGCCGCTGGATTTCGAACCGTGAGCCTCTGCAACAAGCGGCGATTGGGAGTGCTTGTCTCATGATTAGAGCGTCATGAATTAAAATGCCGGTTGGGGGGTTATGCTACCCCCGTCATCCCCCTGGGATCAACACAATTAGTACCGGGTTTGTGTAAATAGCGATTGTTTAAATGGTTAGACTGACCCCCGCCATGGCAATGTGAAACTTCAATTAATGGGCTCAGGCCATCAGTAGATATCAGTACTGACCAAAATCGTATTTTGTGCAGGAGGGGGGGGGGGGGGGGAGACACCTCGGCTTGGCTAGAAAAGAACAAAATTCAAATTTATTGTCACTCATTGTTATGATGTTCAATTAAAACTTCCGGAGGGCATTTCCTGCAGGACGACAGTGAGTGGCTTTAGACAAAGTTGTCAGTCATCCACAGCTTCCAAAATCATACCTTACATTTTACAAAATGTATATTTCAGAAAGCCGCTTTCAATCGGCGCTGTCATTTTTCAGCAGCGAGTGCTTGAAAGACAGAGGTCTGTGCGAAGAGGTTAACACTCTTTTTTGACACCTCTACTAGAATGTTTTTAACCTACCTGCGTTTCAGCCGCAACCTCTGCGTCTTGCATCCTGGATGTTGCCACCGCTGGCTGACGGCGGAGTGGCTCCCTCTCGCTTGCTCCTGCCAGAGAATTATGAGCAGACGTATTGAGGTCACACGTAATTTATGGTATTCCTGGGGCACCCCCCCCCCCCCATCTCTCTCTCTCCAGTCTCATACGAAGTGGCTCTTTCTCCCTACGGACAAGGATTACCATGACAAATGGGCATTTCGTTCACAAAAGCGCCGTTTCTTTCAGCATCACGATGCACTTAATATTCGCACAGCGTCAAACCAAAACACGATTCGTATTTCGAGTGTTTCCCTGCTCAATCGAGACGAGACCCATCTGTGTCCCGCGGCCTTGAATCAGCAGTGGGATGTCCACATTAATTTGGGAGGGGGCCAGTCTCTCCATGGGACATGCAATTAATTTCAAGTGGCACTCTTCTATCCTGGAGTTAACCCGGGACGGGATTTGAATTCCTAAACCGTCTAAATGTGAGTCAAGCAGCCTAACCCCGTGCCACCTGGTCAGATGAACCCATACACTTCACCATCGATACACTTTAGTTACATTAAAAAAAAGTTTTCTGCTTACGTTTCAGATAATGTTTTTTTGTTAGTTCCATCTCATCAGCATGCCGCACAAACATGTAACAGTGAGAGTGACGTGTAATTTCACTTTACTCATTACAAAAGTGACGCCCGACTCTCTGGCTAAGCGACAGTTTCTCACCTTGGCTTGACCGACGCCAAACCGAAGAGCCACAGCACTACTGCTGCTAAAACTAAACTAAGCAATTTTAATTTTACTAGGTATTGCCCACGGAACGATATAGCTCTTTTCAGAAGCCACCTGGCCATAGACGATAGCTCAACGAAGCGGCTTATCGCGGGGAAATATATAGCAGCCAAATCCTCTAAACGCGTGTTTCTAATCAGGGAGGGGAAAAACCGGAGGGCCTGGAGAAAAGCCCACGCGACTCACGGGGAGAACATGCAAACTCCAAATATACAGCAGGCTTCAGGGTCGGGATTGGGATCGAACCCAAGACCTCCTGTATACCAGGCGAGGTAGTTAACATCTCGCCACGGCACTGCTGCTGCTGCTGCTGCCGCTGCGGCTAAATATGCAACGGTGCGACGGCGGAGCCGAACGGGGTGGCCACTCCGCGTCACCGCGAACGATATCTCCTTTCTGTGTGGCTGTGCCGCTATGGATATGGCGCATCAATAATTGATCGGCAGACACGTATGAATGGTCGCAATGAAAACACAACATTCGATATGCCCCTGAGAGTGTTGCGGGTTTATGCATCGTGTGCAGGGTTGAAACCGATTGCCTTATTGCAGTACATGTACATAGTGTACACACACACATCTACATGCTTTAAAAGTTAGATTTTATATTTAACTGTATGAGCAAATATTCCTCAAGAGTTTTCTAAGAGTTGTAGGTTCTGATCCGCCGCTTATACCTATGCTGTGTGTGTGTGAACACCTCACGATATCTTGATTGTGCAGAGGTCCGTTGGATTGTTTTTTCTCCAATTGGAAATAAACCGTTTTATAAGCGTGCTTTGAGTGCGGTGTTTATCCTTTGTGTATTTACACAAATGTATCTTGATCGCGAAACTATTATAATGCAGGCTTTTGGGTTAGATCACGTAAATATAAATGTGCCGTTAAATCCGTCACCACCCGACACAGCCAATTAGTAAGGTTTGTCACGTGAACAGAACATTCCAATTCGTTACTAGTACAGCACACCGGTGTGTTGGAGAATCCACCTGGCCACAAATGATAGCTCAACGAAGTGGTTTATCACGTGGAGATTTATAGCAGCCAAATACTCTAAATGCATGTGTCTAGATGTGGAGCGAAAAAACTGGAGGACTCGGAGAAAAATCCACGCGACCACGAGGAGAACATGCAAACTCCAAATATACAGGCGTCAGGGTTGGGATTGAAGCCATGGAATGTGAGTCAAAGGTTATTTTTGTTTCACTCCAGGCCATCCATTCAATGTAAATCAAAATAAGCTCGACAAGTAAAATATGCAGCGGACAAGTCAATGCATTTGAATAGCACGATATTCCTTTACCAGTCCGTTAAACACCTCATGCGAGACCCAAACACCACAACTCTTGGCTTGGAGATTCCTTAAATACACTGGTGTAGCCATCAGCCGCTTCAGAACATCAACAGGCTGATGCACATGAATGGGAACAAAGAAAACAGTGCAATTGTGGCCTTGTGGTCCGTATAGTAATCCACTATATTCTGTGCTCTTTCAACGGCGGAAGAGCAAAACTACACCAACCCTCTCCCGAAGAAGCCCTCTCGTGGCTAGCAGACATTGGCATTTAGCTCCTGAATGTATTGCCATCATGCACAAGAACCAGTCTGTGGAATTGCTTAACCCCTGCGCCACTGTTCCACCTCTTATAAATACAGCCTGGGTGTATTCCTGTTAACTGTTACATAATTAGAGCGTAACCTTTCATCGAGAGTCAAAACGGCTCCACAAACGAGCGTGAGACGCCGGTCATCTATTTGAGGCGAGCCGTATCCAGGGGTGGAAATTCCACATTGTTGTGCCAGGGGCAAGTTCGTTTGTGGAATTTCAGGCAGGGGGCAGGCTTGGGCAAGGACATAGGCCCACTTTTCACCTAGGAAATCGGAAAGCACACACTTATCGCAAAAGACAACAAATTAACAATTTTAAATAAGATATAACAAATATACAATAAGAATTGAAATAACATATTTAAAGACTTTAAACCTTATCGACTCACATACTGTCTGGTAAGACTCTCTTTACTTCCCGCAGAGTGGTACCCAGTGGTGACGACGCTCGCGACAGTAAACGAATATCGCTGTGACTTTACTTTGAAGTTTAATTCTCATTCCAAGTTGACATTATTATTATTATTCTCAGTTGCGTGAGCGTCCAATAACATTGAAAGTGTTCTATTTATGTCAGGCGTAGTACATGCAGGCCCTGATGTCAATCCACTACTTGGACAAAGGGCTGTCCTCTACGCTGTCGGTCATGGGGTTTGTTTGACCATACTTCACCACAGCGGTCAGCATAGGTTGCAGGGGGGAGGGGGCAGTGGGGGATTGTAACCAAGACCGGTAATTGAACTCAGCTCACCAATATATTATTTTATTATAATATTTTACAAAATATTATTAATATATTAAATTGTTTTTATTATATTATTATATTATGTTTTATTTTTATTATTGTTTTATTTCCCTTCTACGTGACTACCGAAAGAACCAAGAAGATCAGCTCACCAAGTTTATCTTGCTGTGCGCTAACTACAAGTTCATTATGAGCACCACTTTTAGATGAACCAAAAGTGGTGGTACGTTGAACTTCTTTCGCACCGTACGTAGCCAACCGTGCTAATCGCAGGTGCGGTTATAACTACAGTATAGAGATATTGACCCCCCCCCCCCCACCCATAGGAATGTGGAATTTCCACCACTGGCTCACGGCCGCCAAACAGCGACGAGCCTCACCCCGAAGACGTTCTTGTTGAACGTCGGGACACCGCTCAGAACGTGGTACCAACTACAAGAAGCGAGCGGCTCGATGTTATTGTTACTGCGCGTCGAATGTGTTTTGCAGCAAGGCATTCTGCAGTCTTGAGGGGGCAGGGGGTGGACAAAGCGATATCGCTGAGGCCAAAAGCATCATTAAGCCGCACACTTTCCATCTCTCCTGCTAATGGTTGCGCGTGACCCCGGACCCCCCCCCCCCCCCCACCAGCACCTCCCCAGCTCGCTCCGTCCTCTCCTCCTCGCGGAGCCGCCAAGCACGTCAAGAGCCGGCCCCAAACCCCAACCACAACATCACCACCACAACCTTGCACCATTTTTCCACGAGACCTCCCCCCCCCCCACGCTGTTCCAAAACAACCTCAATTATTAACACACCTTTTCACACCCCCCCTCTCTCTCTCTCTCTCAACTCTCCCCATCTCCCCTATCCAATGCACGTGCGCGTTGTTTTTTTCTTTCTCTCCTCCTTTTTTTCCACTGGAAACTGCACGCGGGTGCTGATAGGGGACACCTATCAGACGATGATGTTGATGTGGAAACCCAATGGCGCGTGGCTTTGCTCCTCTTCGCCCCACGCGGAGTAAGTGGGCGGTCGCGTTGCCCGTTGGCCTGTGTCGCTCGACAATGGGACAGGGTCACTCACCTGTCACCTCACCCTCCCTCAACTCACCCTCTCGCCTCACCCCATCGTGTGTCACTCGGCTATGGAACAGGGGTCCACCCTCCCTGACCCTCCCTCACCTCACCTTCCCTCAACTCACCTTCTCGCCTCACCCCATCGTGTGTCACTCGGCTATGGAACAGGAGTCCCACCCTCCCTCACCCTCCCTCACCTCACCTCACCCTCCCTCAACTCACCCTCTCGCCTCACCCCATCGTGTGTCACTCGGCTATGGAACAGGGGTCCCACCCTCCCTGACCCTCCCTCACCTCACCTCACCCTCCCTCAACTCACCCTCTCGCCTCACCCCATCGTGTGTCACTCGGCTATGGAACAGGGGTCCACCCTCCCTGACCCTCCCTCACCTCACCTCACCCTCCCTCAACTCACCCTCTCGCCTCACCCCATCGTGTGTCACTCGGCTATGGAACAGGGGTCCCACCCTCCCTGACCCTCCCTCACCTCACCTCACCCTCCCTCAATTCACCCTCTCGCCTCACCCCATCGTGTGTCACTCGGCTATGGAACAGGGGTCCCACCCTCCCTGCACCCTCCCTCACCTCACCTCACCCTCCCTCAACTCACCCTCTCGCCTCACCCCATCGTGTGTCACTCGGTTATGGAACAGGGGTCCCACCCTCCCTGACCCTCCCTCACCTCACCTCACCCTCCCTCAACTCACCCTCTCGCCTCACCCCATCGTGTGTCACTCGGCTATGGAACAGGGGTCCACCCTCCCTGACCCTCCCTCACCTCACCTCACCCTCCCTCAATTCACCCTCTCGCCTCACCCCATCGTGTGTCACTCGGCTATGGAACAGGGGTCCCACCCTCCCTGACCCTCCCTCACCTCACCTCACCCTCCCTCAACTCACCCTCTCGCCTCACCCCATCGTGTGTCACTCGGTTATGGAACAGGGGTCCCACCCTCCCTCACCCTCCCTCACCTCACCTCACCCTCCCTCAACTCACCTTCTCGCCTCACCCCATCGTGTGTCACTCGGCTATGGAACAGGGGTCCACCCTCCCTGACCCTCCCTCACCTCACCTCACCCTCCCTCAACTCACCTTCTCGCCTCACCCCATCGTGTGTCACTCGGCTATGGAACAGGGGTCCACCCTCCCTGACCCTCCCTCACCTCACCTCACCCTCCCTCAACTCACCCTCTCGCCTCACCCCATCGTGTGTCACTCGGCTATGGAACAGGGGTCCACCCTCCCTGACCCTCCCTCACCTCACCTCACCCTCCCTCAACTCACCCTCTCGCCTCACCCCATCGTGTGTCACTCGGCTATGGAACAGGGGTCCCACCCTCCCTCACCTCACCCTCACCCCACCCAAACCTGTCGATCCCTTATTAGTCAGTGCCTACCTTATTACAGACCAATTCAGACCTTATTGGTCACCCCGTGCCCCTTATACATCTCAACGTTCATCCTACAAAGTCTCATCGCAAGGGAAAAACACAAACAAATAGACACTTTATTTTTGCCCGTATTGAAACGGCCGTACGCCGTATGGACCTGAAAACTCAATTCCCCAATAGGGGGTAAACCGTGTAGGTTGGCAGCTATGCATCACCCCATCGTGTGTCGCTCGACAATGGAACAGGGGTCCCACCTCCCCTCACTCCCTCACCTCACTCTCGCCTCACCCCCTCGCCTCCACCAGCCTTTTAGTTTCCATAGGCTAACCGGACGCGAGCCGTACCGGACCTTGTTGTTTGGCTGTTGTTGTTGTTGTTCTTGATAAGTGCCCCAGCAAAGTTTGTTGCTTGTCCCACCGCACGGCTCCGTGGGTTTTAGATCTCTCCCTCCACTCCGTGACCCCCGTCCAACCGACGCTTCGTGTCATGGCTGCAGGAACGCTGCGACGAGTTCACATCCCAGTTGGGTGGTCGACTGAGCCATCATCACCACTACCACCACCATCGATCTGAGGTCGATCGACTCAATCCATTTTTGTGGGACATCAACAGCAGTCGTTCTGTGGACAAGACTGCCGTGGAAATGTGTAATTTTCACCGATAGCCGGAGTAAATTTCTATAAAGTAACTTGCGCGTTCAATGTATTTATTGCATATCTGTTGATTTCGTAAGCCTTTTTGTTGCACGGGTGGATAATTTTTTTCAATTACAACTCAGCTCTTGAAAGTTGACCTGCAAAGTGTGAGAAGGTTCAAACCGCCCCAAAGCGTCAGCTCGCAACCATCCGCGTTGATGCTTGCGACGTTACGAGCCTTCGCTGAGGACGGCTCGGCTGAGGTCGGGGTTACAGAGTAGCCTCCTTTGCCGAGCGAGCTCCAACTCAACAACAAGCGGAGCCTCTCTGGCTCGAGAT